TGACTGTCCTACATGGTCTTACGTTACGCGAGCGTGGGCACAATTACAATAGATTTAGGACTATTTTGGTAATTTTTTTGAGATTTCTAATTCAAGAATTGGAGATCATCCATTGAATAACATCAACCATGTACGAACTGCTCTGCGTCGGAAGGGATTTACCCATGCAATCAAGAGAACTCTGAGTTAAATCCCTGGATTATCAAACAAAAGAAAGTTATTCGACATACATTGTGATCGCCTTAAATTACCCATGCAATCAAAGTTGTTGGTGTAAAAGGAAATAACTCTCCGGCACAACAAGAGGAACTATAATACTCGCTTCTCATCGTAAAATGACAATGTAAAGTAAAGAAAAATTATTATTAAATATTTTTTGGTTGAGCAATGCATATTTGTACAACCATAATGGACCGATCCTCGATTCTGTTAGATGCATGCGATGATACCGTACTTCCGAGCCAAGATGAAGCGTAGATTCTATCTCTCAGGCACGCCGGTCCGACCTAGCAGGATCTCCGACGTCGATTATGTGACGACGTGTTCGACATTGATTGGCGGATGGCCTCCTGGGCCATCGTTGCGGTTAGCCCTAGAAACACTCTCGTCCATGAATCCTCGTTGGCTCCGTCTCTCTTTCTCGTACCTGGTTTCATTGGCTGGCTAGGATTGAATCTCAACCTTGTTTCCAGCACCGATTCTCATTCGAATTCCAATGCCAACTCAATCTCGCTCACCTTCTAATTCTAGGGTTTCTCTCTCTCTCTCTCTGGGCAATGTCTGTTGTGCCATAGAAGTCTATAAAAACTAGACCACCCACTGCAACAAAGAGATTCTCACGCCCAGGTATATAGAAAGAGAGGGAGAGAGGGAGGGAGGAGGGGAGCTAGGGTTAGGGTTTTCTGGAGGAGCTTTGCTTGCTTTCTTTGGGTCATCATGGAGAGGAGGCCGGGGCGACATGCGGAGGAGAGCGGCGGCGAACAACGGGACTGGGAGGCGCTGGAGACGATGGCGGAGAGAGCCGACGAGAAGGTCGTGGTGGAGGAGGCTTTCAAGAACACGGAGGTGCCGCCGTGGAGGCAGCAGCTGACGGTGAGGGCCTTGGTCACGGGGCTCCTCCTCAGCCTCGTCTTCAACTTCATCGTGTGCAAGCTCAACCTCACCACCGGCGTCATCCCGTCGCTGAACGTCGCCGCGGGACTGCTCGGGTTCGCGATGGTCAAGTCCTGGACGAGCCTCCTCGAGCAGTGCGGGCTCCTGAAGCAGCCCTTCACGCGGCAGGAGAACACCGTGATCCAGACGTGCGTCGTGGCCTCCTCGGGGATCGCATTTAGCAGTACGTTTCGTTCATTCATTCCCTACGCTAGACGTGCATATTCGCAGATTCATGCCAACGCATGCGCATCTCGATCTTTGACTTGTTTTCTCATGCACTACGTCGTGGTCAGTATCGTCGTTTCAATGATCTTGCAAATAGTTTCTCAAATACTATATTTTCCTTTTATTGTATTAAAAAATTAGACTTTTTCAACTACAACCTTCACATTCAAATAGTTTCCATGTGGGTCCTTTTCGCATGCGATTTCAATTTACCTTTTACGTAATCGATTTTTGCTGATGATGTTAATTAGTCAACTACAGAATTGAATCTCCCATATTGTTTATAACTCTTTCCTTTGCGATTTTTCATCCAAGCGTTTCCTGTATTGAAGTTCTGATGCCCAAGTGAAAAAATAAACGTGTTTTGAGAGATCATCTGCGCACCAGATGAATTAAATATCGATAGTGTTCTAGAGTAATTTTGGAAGGGTAATTACGTTGTTCATTTATTGCTGATCTTATACAAGCAACGTTGTGAACCTAAAACCGATCTAGAAATTTGTTTTCCCAAGTGATCGTGTGGCGAACCGAATATTTACCAAACCCGATTTCGCAAACTTTGGTCTTCTTAACATCTGTAGCATTGCCCATCGCATATGATCTCGCAGGAGACGCTTTCTAACAAGACATATACATGCTAAAAATGCCAATAACAGGTGGGACGGCGAGCTATCTGTTGGGAATGAGCGCGCACATAGCGGCGCAAGCAGATGGAGGGAACACGCCAGCCAACGTGAAGAACCTCTCGCTCGGTTGGATGATAGGCTTCCTCTTCACTGTCAGCTTCGTCGGCTTGTTCTCCATCCTTGCCCTAAGAAAGGTATTGTTGTTGCCGTTGTCACATCGGGAGATTTGTCTATCATCATGTGTGATTATCTAAAAGGGAAATGCTAACGAGCGTCCCATGACACGCTTATAATCTCGAGTTGTCACTTTAACCCTTGTGGATGATGTAAATGGGTGTTCATTCGCTGTCTCTCTTTGAGATTCATGGATTCGTTTTGCCACAAACAGGTGATGATCATGAAGTACAGACTTACGTACCCCAGCGGAACTGCCACTGCTTTCCTCATAAACAGCTTTCACACCCCTAAAGGGGCCAAGTTGGCCAAGTACTTCTCTTTCAACTTGAACTTTTTCTATCAGCATGTTTAGCCAATGCACGAATATGCACAGCATTAGCAAAAAAAAAAAGAATTCACCCCTTCCTAATTCTAAGTGAAATTGTAATTTAATTTGGTTCATGCTGCTCTGAAACACAGGAAGCAAGTAGTTATGCTCTTCAAGACCTTCTGTCTGAGCTTTTTCTGGGCATTCTTCCAGTGGTTCTTCGCCGTTGCTGACGGATGCGGATTCAGCAGCTTTCCGACCTTCGGTCTCCAAGCTTATAAGCAAAGGTCTCTAACATCATAATTCATCCTAACGTCCTATTAATACGCAAAGAGACTAATTTTCCTTCAATGAATAATTTTCGTGAGACTCGGGCTTTACCCGTAACTTTCTCTCCGTAGGTTTTACTTTGATTTTTCGGCGACCTATGTCGGCGTGGGAATGATATGCCCGTACATGGTAAACATATCTTTGCTCATTGGCGCTGTCCTATCATGGGGAATCATGTGGCCTCTCATCGAGACAAAGAAAGGCGATTGGTACAGCGCCGATCTCTCCGCGAGCAGCCTCCATGGCATTCAGGGATATAGGGTAACTTTCACTACCCTCCATTACACATTTGAATTTCCTAAAAACATCTGAACCTCTAAATTAAGCTTGATTAGATGTTGTACAGACCACTCATGAAACTTCGTTTTTGATTTTGTCCACCTAAAATAAACCAAACAGCTAGGGATGGTTTCATATGAAATATATGAACTTTCACCATCACTGAGTTCTTAACCAAACTTACTGGAAATTCTCTTACTGTATATGGATTGATCTTCACAGGTTTTTCTCGCCATCGCGATGATGCTTGGGGATGGCCTCTTCCATGTGGTGCTCATGCTGATCAAAACCACAGGCAGTCTCATTGCAAAATCTAAGAAGGAATCATCCTCCATCACCCCTGATGACATCGACCTGTCAACTGCCGACTACAATGATGAACGGCGAACTCTATACTTCCTGAAGGACCAGATCCCGAGCTGGGTTGCCTTTGGCGGATACGTTGGCCTCGCGGTCATATCCACCATAGTCCTTCCCTTCATCTTCCCCCAGCTAAAGTTCTACCATCTTCTGGTTGCCTATGCCATTGCACCCGTCCTCGCCTTCTGCAACGCCTACGGTTGTGGCCTCACTGACTGGTCCCTTGCCTCGAACTATGGCAAGTTCGCAATCATCATCTTCAGCGCGTGGGTCGGCATGGATCACGGGGGCGTGATCGCAGGCCTCGCATCATGTGGCGTCATGATGAACATTGTTTCCACAGCTTCCGATCTCATGCAAGACTTCAAGACCGGGTACCTGACCCTGTCGTCGCCGCGCTCGATGTTCTTCAGTCAGGTGTATGGGACCGCAATCGGCTGCGTGATGACACCCCTGGTGTTCTGGTTCTTCTACAAGGCCTATCCGATTGGCGATCCCTCAGGCTCGTTCCCCGCGCCATATGCCCTAATGTACAGAGGCATTGCCCTCTTAGGCGTGCAGGGTGTATCTTCCCTCCCCAAAAACTGCCTCAACCTCGCCATACTCTGCTTCGTCGTCGCAATCGTCCTGAACCTGATTAAAGAGCTCTTGCAACATTTCGAGACGAAGCACCGGATCTACAGATTCATCCCGAGCGCCATGTGCATGGCGATTCCATTCTACCTTGGCAGTTACTTCGCGATCGACATGTGCGTGGGTAGCTTGATACTCTACCTCTGGGAGAGGAGCAACAAGCAGAAGGCCAAGGACTTTGGGCCTGCGGTTGCGTCTGGCTTGATTTGTGGTGATTCATTGTGGGGGGTTCCGGCCGCCATCCTCTCCCTTGCCGGAGTGCAAGCCCCTATCTGCATGAAGTTCCTGTCCGCGGCCGTCAACCAGAAAGTTGACAACTTCTTGGACGGGTCTTAATTATTCACTCTCGCTCAATTACAAGTCTGTAAATACCTTTGATCTTTCCGCCCATTTTAATTAGACTTGTATGCAAGAATCCTTTTAGATGCTTTGTGACAATTTAAACTACATTATCGACGGGCCTTGGTGGTTTTAGGAACGTGTTTGTGTCAATGGTGCTTTTGGGTTCTGCTTTTGCCTCCTGATTGTTCTCCATCCGGACGGATATCCTTACGTTCGTGTACTTTTGCGTATGTGGATATTGAATTTACGTGTGCCATTATTAGACATATAAATATCAATTCATTATTAAAAAAACTACCAGCTAAAAATGATTTACCACAAGTGCACCAGTGAGGAATGGGCTTTTGGAAAGTGTGAACTGATACCATTAACTTAGAAAAGGCCAATAGTTCGTTTCAGTGCAAAGCTAAGGAAACTCGTAGGAAAACAATTGCAAACCATTCGCCGAATCTTATAGTCGAATCGAACCATGGCCGCTTAGGATAGGTACTTGGGACAAATATAAGTCATTCAGTCTTCGTATGTTCCATTTCAGCTCTGAAGAACAATGAAATAGACATAGCAGCTGACAAACAGCATCACTGGTTATAAATCTAAAATTAATGGTAACTGAAAGGAGAGATAGGACGACAAAGGCATTCATTGCAAGATGATTCCTAAATAGACATCTTCAGCAGTGGAATATGGGAGAAAAACACTCTTCATCGAGAAACGAGAGAGTTTTTTTTTTTTTTTTCACATCCTATCTCATATTCTATGTCTCTTCCGAGAACTCCGGAAAATCGGCAAATATCTCGAGAAAGAGTAGGGACAACCGAAAAAACGCACGAGGTTTCGACAATCTCTCTCCCCAGACCCACCACCTGCCCCTGAACTTAGATGGCTTAAATACGTTTGCCCTTCATAGATATAACATAGTTGTTGCCATAAAAGGACAGTGAGGCCTATCTGAACAGAGACACTAGAAACAATTAAGTACACAAGAATAATGCCCCTGGTTGACAATAGCATAGCAGAACCTAACAAAGCAAGAGATAGTTCTCTGACCACTCTTGAAGCAGAACCGCTGCCAAATGTGTGTGGACGAGCAAGAGATGTAAACCTCGGTGGTGGCCAGATATGCCGCCCTGCATAAGAACACATAATCGCGACGTACATGGTGCTGATTAGAGTCAAGATGAGGAAGATAATAAAGTGCCGATGGTTTGTTGCTCCGACACAGTTCCCTATCTGCAAGACACGGTAAATAAAAGCATCAGCTACAAATACAATAAAAAAAAAGGAAAAAAGAAAAGGGAAGGAAAATCATACTATAACTAGTTTTTATCTACTTAAAGAAATAAGTGATTGACATCACAGACTCACAGGATATGCTACAGAAGAAATTCTTGCTGCAGGCAAGTCAAGGTCCCCCAATTAACAAAGAAAGCAACAACAATCAACAATTCGAAAGTGAGCTAATTTAATTTGGTATCAAGTCGATGGGGTTTTACAAGAAGGTATAATCACAAAGCGAAAATTACCAATTCTTCCCCCACCTGAAGTACAGAAAAGAAGAAAAGAAATAAAGAAAACCAATAGTTCTTTTTTGGTGAGGCTATAGGGGCTGCTTCAGGCTAGTTAAATTTATGTCACTGATCTGCAGTGCACTTTAATCAAATTAAAAGACAGATATGGGGTATTCAAAGGAGTAATTTCAAGAAAAGAAGATGCCGGAAACTTACAAACGGGCAGTGATGATCCATGTCCTCTATACACATTCCGCATGAACGACAATGATGAGTTCTTGGTGACTTTGGCTTACAACAATAAAGACAGAAGGTATAGTCCTGAAGGTGCCCCTTCCCCACCAGTGGATAGCTGCCCCACTGTATATTTGGAGGCCTGCCCGCACAGCGAAATGCAGCAAGGCCGAAGGTTGTAAAGGTACTTACTGCCAATACTGCAGTTACAAGGGAGTGGAAGATGCCACAGAAATTGCTGATGGAGAAAACAACAGGGTAAACTGCCCAAACTCCACCGCCTGAAAAACAAGTGACATAAAACAAGTACCAACACTTATCAGACTATGTATGGTCATGTTCAACAATAGAGCTAAAAATACCTAAATGTCTTTTACAAGAGTAACAAAGACAAAAAAATAAATACATTTCAATGAACACCATTTGAGATAACATGCTGGAAGCATATCTAATGTCATTCTATTATTATGGCCACAATGAAAAGCTCAGATACTGATTGTTCTGCTCTGTCTATCTATGCACTGCAAACAAAGCTGAACATGGTCCACTAAGCCTAACTAATTATAGTCTGTCAAGATACAGAATCCGCCTCTAAGAACAAATTTCTAGCAACAAGAATTCAATCACCATCTTGCTTTCTCTTCAAATTTCCGAGTCCTAAAAGGATCATTAGCTACTGATGAGGCATTCTTTGTATATCAAATAGAGTCTCAACACTTTTCATCCTTCTACCAGAAAAATAGTCCTAGGAGTTTAAGTGCATACTTGCATTTTGCAGACAAAAGTGAAGCATGACTACTAGTAGTATAAAGCAACACAAGAAGGAAAGACTACTCTACTAGAAAGAGAAAGCTGGTTCAGCAACTTACACAATATGAAGAGCATAAACAATGACACAACACTAACAAAGCACCGGTCACGCCAGCGTCTCCACCACAGGGACTTATCTTTTCGTTTCTGTGCGTGGTCATTTGTTATGGCTCCACACCAACCACACTTAAAAACAGGTGCGTTGGATGGTAAAAGAAGGCGAAGTCCACAACCCCAACATGTTCTCTCATTTTCCTCCCTGACTGTGGCTTCAACATGCTCCTTTACGAAAAAGCAGGACATGAATCCAATGTGTGCATATAACCACTTTAAGGTGAAGATCAAAACACAAGGGAACGTGATCATTGACAACACCAATGGATTTCTTGCTTCACAGACGAGAACAAAATCTTAAATGGCTCATGATATTCTTATTGTGTCATCCTAAAACATCAGAAAAACTACTTAAATGATTAAACTGACAAGTCTACTCGCTGAGTGATACATTGATTTTTGTATCAAATACAGGTCTCCTTTAAATCTTCCATTAAATGGGGAAAAAATGTCTGTGACTTGAATCTTGTCTGATCCCAATAAAACAATCTCATTTGTAGATTCACAAAAAAAAAAAAAAATAAGGCATCGATGTCCTGATTTCATGCAAATCGCATTCATCTGCAATCAACAAATGGCATTAGTAACTAGAGCAAGCTGAAAAACCATAAAGCTCTGAGTTGAGCCTCCAACTTCTTTCTGAGCCACTTCCTCAATGGCTTCTCTCTCCACCAAAACTTAAAGTCAATGCACCCGAAACATGATCATCCTACATAGTTCGATCCTAAAGCATCGCGACCAAGAATCTTTTGTCAAGCGCCGCTACGAAGTCTCCACGGAATTCACTACCGGAATCGATCTTCAAGAAACGCCTACCGACGGCACTCAAATCGCAGATCAACATCACAAAAAGAATTTCCTCTTCATGAACGCTCAAAAACAAACCCCGAACAAAACTACGGCAAGTAGATTACGGCTAAAATGAGCCTCATCAAGCTCGCTCCTCACCATCGCATAATCCTCGCACGAGCGATGAGCAACAATGAAGCAACGAAAACGAACGCGCAACCAAAGAATCCACGGCCAAACCTCCTATAAACCACGGGATCAAAAAAACTGAAAAAACCACAACCGGAGGAGCTATTGCAAGCGCGGAACAAAAACCGAGCGACGACGACGACGAAGAAGAAAGCGAAACAGGAGCCGAAGCGGAGGATGCACGCACCACAGCCAAGTCAATCATGCTGCGCAACCGCCTCGCGGAACGAAAGGACGGAGCAGGAGCCTCGCTCGCGTTTCCCGACGTCGCGGTCCGGATGGCGACGGCCGTCGGGGAATCAGCCTCGACGAGTCCGTCTTCCGCTTTCTCCTCCGCCGCAGCGCCTCCGCGAGCGAGGGAGAGAGAGAGAGAGAGGAAGTTGATGATGGTGCGACGGCGAGTCTGCGAAAGCCTGCGACGAATTTGGGTGGTGGTGCCCGGTCGAACCGGACTCGGGCCTCAGATATCCGGAAAATTCTCTCTCTTCAACGGCGCTATTTTCCAAGCTATTTCCACTAGACCCACGCTTTATTTTATTTTATTTTATTTTATTTGTCACGTCGACGGATCAAAATTACGCTTTAACCACAAAATTCGATTCCACATCGATTGTCAACAGTCAACGTTATACCTCTCTCTTTGATCAACTCTCACCGTATCTCCCCTTCCATTACCGTGTCTTTGTCAAGTTTCGTGAAGGAAAAGTCAACTTCGTGCAGGTCCGTCGACCTCTCGTTGCGATTACATCGGGCCTCGGGCAAACGCGGATTGACTCCCAGTTTCCTGCTTCGTTTTGCATCCTCTTTTCCCTTCCTACAGTGGCCCACGAGTGCTGCCGATATGTTTATGGCAGGCGCGCCGAAGCCAGTCAAAGGATGCGCGTCGCGCTGTTATCGACCCGAGTTCGTTGGCAGTGCGGTTCTCAATCTAATTGCCACAGTACATGCCCTTTCTAGTTCAGGTCGTTTTACGGTGCTGCTGCAGGGGATGGATCGAAGAATGCTCGTGACGATTCGGTTTTTTTCGTCCGCGAATGATATGAAGTGACGAGTGAAATGCTGACAAGTTTTAAGCTTGTCGAGAGTAATGCCGTCGCATTGCAATGGTCAATTTGGTGCAATGAGCTTGATGACTTACACTGGTGTCACCAATTGGCACTTCATATTCTTTAACCTTAAGCCAGCTTGGACAGTCTTAATGCTTCATTTTGTAGCACTTGCATAAACGACAGCAAAAATGTCAATCAATTGACAAAAATGTATCGAACAAAAAGTTACGATTACACCGGTTCAATATCAATTTGGCTGCATTTGCTTTCTAAGGTTTCCGAGAGGGCCCCGAACTTTCTTTTCCGCCTGCTCTTCCCCGCAACTGCAACTGCCGGTGTTCAGATTCGTACCGCATTGGAGGCACAGGCCCTTGCAATTAGGATCGCACACGGCACTTATGGTGATCTCCAGGTGCACCAAGTCCCTCACGTGCTTCGAGATGTCGATTTCCTTCTCTTCGGGAGGAAAATACAGCCGATCCTCCAGGTCGATAGAAGCCTCGTCCTCGTCGTCTCCTTCCTCACCAGTTGGGAATGGTTTGGACTTGTCTTCTCCAAAGATGACCCCCATGTCGATAAGTTCAGGCTCTTCAATGGGATCTTTAGTCAACAAAAGTGAGAAATTGGTGTATATGCAGTCAGCGGCAGGCTCGCCGCACCTATAGAGCCCAATGAAAAAAACATAATTAGGCTCTGCAGTAACCAACACAAGTGAAAGCACACCATTCATCGTTTTTTTTCTTTTTGACTAAAATCACTTTACAGAATCTGCAATATTACATGGAACACAATGTCGATTACATTTCACATGGTCTTCTCTATAGCCAATATGACACTAAAATATACAAAGAAAAGAAAAATTGCAAGGTGAAACTGCTTCAAGAGCATCTGTACACGAACTCATGAACAGCTGTGATATTTTTGCATTCTCCTATCCATTTTTTTCACATTGATTGTATGTACTCAATGACCCAGGTTATTTGGTTTATAAAATGCTCCCACTGAGCACTAAAGTTATTCATGTCATCAATAGGATTATTATCTTCTATAAAGCTAGTTGAATATGAGTGTCAGCAGCTAAGGACAACAGGCACATCTTCAAATGAACATGACTCTTCAACAGTTCCATATAACCTCAAAAGTTCCCAAGCAAACTGAGAAATGCTTAACAAGACTGACTAATATTTCTTCCCGGCAAATAAAATCTATGTACTTATCCAGTCCCAGGAAGTCAGCCAAATCTGGGATGTATTTCCAAAATTTTAATCCCAAGATTACCACAGACACACAAAATAAGGAAATTGAAAGGAGAATCAAGCAAAACTTGATTTAAATCTAATGTTACTGGCAATGGAGGAAATCACTTTTCTGGACTAAGGATGCTCAAGAAAAGAGATTCAAGAGCCTCATTGAAGCTTCCTCCATCCACAAGACAGAAGCTCAGAGCAAGTGGCAAAGGGTCATGTTTGAAGAAAAATAATAAACAAAGGCCGTATGCAAGGCCACAAAGCTTCCAGTATGGAATGAAAATAGGAAGAGCACGGTACAGATAGACTTACTTAACTTGATAAAAGATCAAGTGTTTATTTAGCTATTTTCTCCACCAAATACATCTTAAGATAATGGACTGACTGGGATAGGATTATGACAAATGCTAGATTGTACTGTCTCAATCCTTGGATTTACTCCCAAAAAAACAATCATTCCAATGAATAATTGGACTCAGGATGTGAATTGCTTGAAGAAATGATGATATTGCATAGGAAATGCAAGAGAGGACTTAGAATGGTCAAGTAAGAAAATAAAAACAAAAGTACCTGTTACAACCAAGAGTGATGACAGTTCTTATTATCCCGTCGAGCCTCAACTTTTGCTTCTTCCTACTGACATCAATTGATATCTGTACCGGTGTTCCGTGAGGATAATCCTTCACGGCCTTGGTCACACGAATTCCCATCGCTGAGGCCCTAGATTTGGATAACTCTGTCGAAAGCTTCTCTAACCCAAGCCTCTCTAGGGTGGTACAGTATTCTACATGTGAAACTGAAGAATTTCTCTTATAAACAACAGCACCTTCCCATGGAGAGTCCACATCCTCATTGCCATCCAGGTCTTGATCCCCCCAATCAAAAAATAAAGTATCATCACTAGTGAAGGACTGAGAACTGCAATCTCTCGGAGCACCCTTTGAACTGTCTGAAGGTGGGCGTATGAAAACTGTGTGCATACGCCCGGTAACACCGGATGAAGCTTTGCGACAAGCAGGAACTCTTATGACGGAAGAAGCATTCTTATGTGGTTTCAAACTATATGATTTATATACGCAAGAACAGGACGGAGCTGTTACCGATGATGAGGTCAAAGGAGACATTTTAGAAGTCCCAAAATTGGCGAAGACAGAGAAGAACTAGTTCAGAATTGGACGAAAAGCCTAGAATTATGAACTCGCAGCAGACAACATTCCAGACCGCCAAATTAGATTGCACGCGTGCAACTAACTATATCATGAGGGGTGGTTCTGCAAAGAGAAAAAACGAGCCTTCAGACGGCAGTAAATGACATACGCAAACGAAGTAAAGGCAAGTAACTGCAAGAAACGAAATTTCAAAGTCCCAGATAATGCCACCTCATTTTATTGACACGCGCTCCTGATATCGACTGCACATGATGCCGATTTACGCCTAATTACACGAATACAAGGTCCAACGCTGTCTGATTTGAACATCTTCACAAACACTTGGCATGGTAAACTCGGCTTCACCCAAAACGCTTTTTTCGCAATGAAATCCGATTCAACTAGGAAGGCAATAACGAAGAACATCCGAGTCGATTTCACATTCCAGCTGAGAGAACATCATCACGCAAAGAACAGAGTATTTTCCATCGAAACTTTCAGTGACTATCAATACAAGAGAAACTGGACCTACACGGTACCAATGAAGCCCATAGGCATCTTTCGGTAGAGTGAACCACGCGAAAGAGTGACGAGCTCTTGATTTCCAGGTCAGTGGGGTACAAGAGAAGCTAATGAAGCTGCGCGAAAAGGATTGTATGATTTGGCAGCAGCAGAGTACCTGAAATACTTTGGAAGAGGCCAGGCTGCGTTAGGAACCTAGACGCGGCGGCGCACGCTCGGCGGCGGCGGCGGAAATGGCCGCCCGGAGCGGAGGCGACGGACGGCGGGAGGGTCGAGCAGACAGCAAGGCGGAAAACCGTGAGCCTCGGACCTTAGCCACTCCTGTTGGAAGAAAATCACAAATGTACGAAATGAAGTTTAGTAAATTGCCCTCATGCCCCCGGGTTTTGAGACAATTATGATAAGAGCTCTAAAACTTATCATCATAAATACATAAATTCTACTAATTTTCATTTTGTGCATTTAAATCTTAATTTCTTTCGCGATAGTCCACCTAGAAAAGCTCTGTGGTATTTTCCATACACTTAAAATCGATGAGGAAAGGAATTATATGCATTGGAGTTATAAGTTTTAAGATTTCAATATATGATAGGATCGCGCTTTTTCCACTTCTCGTTTGGCTTAGACACTCATTTTCTTTGTGTTTTGACCATACTATCTCTTGTGTCGCTCACCACTTCTCTTATAACTCTACAAAACTAATTCCTTTTTATTTTGTTTCTTCTTTTTTTTTTTCTTGCGGATCCCACTTTCCTTCTTTTTTCTTTTCATGCCTAAATTGTCTTTTCGTTTTTTCTCCCATTCTCTTTTTTCTACGCCTCCATGTGGTGCAAACCACGATGTTTTCCACACTTTCCCAGGCACCGGCATTGGGATCATCATACAATTTTAATCTCACAAATGCAATGGGGATTGGAGAGGCCACGGTAATGCTTCCTCCGCATCTTGTGAGAACACACAAAACCCCTATCCACACTAAAGCGAATGGACGCTCCCTTTGCCGATTATGCCTGTTCATGTAACTTCTCAGCTGCATTTTGCCGAGAGTATTTTCAGGTCTTTTCTTGAAAACTCACATGTAAATGATTTCCATGTTGTGCTTAACCAAAAAAGTATTGAACGACGAGTTTGATTTCTCAAAGCTGGACACACCGTTATGGTCCTGAACTATTTTGGACTTTGATTTTTCATTCAAAATAGGCCTAAAGTAGAAACTAAAGAAAAACCGGGCGCTCCACGTACTATCAAGGCGCTTGTTATTCTTATGCCCCACTTTTAGGATATTAACATTCATCTCTATTTGGTAAAGTTGGGGTCCTAACAACATTTTAAATATCACAAGGGTCGTAAGTAGAGAGGGTGGACTAGGCCTTGATGACAAAGGGAGATTGATATCAAGTGGTCCTCCATGGATGATCGAGCCATCTATCTCTCTCTCCAATTCATCATGAGACAAAAAACCAGAGTCCATGGACAACAATGACGATGGATGATGACTCTCCATTGACAGTACTGCCAAAAGAGCTTCTCAGACAATTTTCGCTTTATATTTTCCTTCCAGCTTGTGCTTCTAAATCAATAATTAGAGCAAAGATCTCCCTAACATGCTCATGAAACAAATCAAAAGCAAATAAGGAATTATTTAAGCAGCAATCCGTTAGTCCACAAAACTTCAAAGACCCCTCACAAGTACGGAATTATTCAGGCTACGTGTGGTGGAGAAAAGGGCCTCCTTGGGTTGAGCCCGGTTCAACAAAAGTGTGGTGCGAGCGAAAGTGTGGAGGAGGGGCTGGCATGATAGATATTTGAGTAGGGATGCATAGAAAGAAGAGAATGGGAGAGAAAACAGAGTGACGATTTAGACTTGATAAGAAAAAGAGAGAAGGAAAGTGGGATCCACAAGGACAAAAAAGAAGAAACAAAATAAAAAGGGACAACTTTTGTAGAGTTATAAGAGAAGTAGTTGGTCATACAAGGGATAATATGACCAAAATACACAAAAAAGGAGTGTTTAAGCCAAATGAGGAGTGGAAAAAACGCGATCTTATACAAAATTAACAAATGGGAAATTGTCCTTGGATTTTCTATATACAAAAGAAGGTACACACTTCTCGAGATAAATTATTTCTACCGATAGTATTAAGTTTTATTTAATACAGAAAGGGTGTGTTCGATTGTCTAGATAGAAGGTCCGATATGATAAAAGTTACCTTATCTAACGTATAGAAACGCACCTGAAAGTTATCAATGGTAGAGCTCCAAGCTCATAGACATGCGTGCGGATCTAAGAGCTGGGGAGGGGGGTAAGAGCATCAACGACGGGGGTTGCCTAGCGAGCAGCTGACGCCGGACAGGTTGGCCGGTAGATAAACTTAGGCCCGTTTGGTAGAAAATCAGTAATCAAATCACGAACGCAGGCAGAACCGGGCTGATTTTTTCTGTCCGGTCAATTTAACGCGGAGCAAGACAAAACGTGTGCATGGCCCGTTTTATGTCGGGTCGGGTCATAGCTGCAAAAGAGCAAGTAGCCATTCCCCCTCCGACCAAAACGGGCTGCGCCCTCGTTTCATCGTCTTCCTGGTTCCTGGGTTTATCGTTCTTGTCCGGGCGTTAGGGTTCTGTCGCTCGAGACCACACGTCGGACCGACAAGAGGCGAACAGCGGCTTCTTCAACCCGATTGCCGTCGCCATTGACGGAAAACCAGGTACGTCGAAGCTTTCGGCCGTCGCTTTCTCTCTGTCTAGCTCCCCCGACTTCTCTCCGGAATCACGGACGATCGATGTTGAATCGCAGCGGAAGGACCTGAGATGGTGGATGCTCGGCCGGGCATTCCTCCGATTGCTGGACTGTGCTTTTGGGGAATAGTGGAATTTCCGCATTGAAGCTCCGAAGTACGCGCGAATCGGTCTCTTTTCATTGAGCAGCTCGGAGATTGTGTTGTTTGGGTTCGGTCTTCAATGGCCACCCCGGCGTGGTTGCAGCAGGAGGTGCAACCCGCCGCGCCTCCTGCCGCAGTGTCCCCGGGCGCTCCTCCGCCAGCAGCCATGGATGTGAGTGCTTGCGCGAACGATTCGAAGCCCGAACCCGCCCAGGCAAAATTTGCCAACGCGCCGGGCTTTGTGGTTCCGGCACCTTCGTTCTCCTATACGGTGCTGTCCAACGCGAGCGCGGCACCTGCTGCACCTAATCAGGCATGGACGACGTCTCTTTATGGAGTGTTTCTCTCCTCTGTGTTTTCAGTGCGTATTTATTGTCGTTTATTCGCTGCAGGTTATGAACCTGAATCCACCAAACTTTTCCTCTGTCGTCCAACCTCCGGTTCCTGGGATATCGCCTCCTGCCGGCCCCTCCTTTTCATACAATGTTTCCCAAAATGCTGCCAGCATTCATGGCAAACATGTGCAGCAAACTAGCACAGTAAGGGTCCTTTTTTAATCTCCAGTATCAACAAGTTTTCCTTGCATTTTAGACTGCTTAGAAAGGCACGGTTGGCTTTTATCAACTTTAATTATTAATCGACTCTGAGGGAAAAGACAGAAAGCATAGAGCACACAACCTATAGACACTGTGCAAATGCCGAGGAAGCCCTGTGTTTATGATGATACACAAAAGGATTTACTTTTTGAAGGAGGGTTGGTAGTCCAGAAATTTTAAATGATCTCGAGATAAGATGATATCTCTTTGGGGCAAAGATTAGATTCAACTTCAGAATATGCCAAGTTGTGTGCTTCTTGAGTCTTGTGTAATTGGTCTGTGCTCTATTTTCCAATTAGGATAAATTAGTGTGCCTCTGACCTGAGTACATAACCTTAAACTAGATGCAGAATACGTCAGGAAATGTTGCACCGCATGCAGGTGTCTCGTCATCCGCTTCTACTACTTCTCAGCTAGATCGATTGCCTGGTCAGCCACCTCAAAAGGATGTGGTGTCTAACATCAGTCCTGCAACTGCATGGGCATCATCTCCGAGGCCATTTTCTCTTTCTACTGGAGTACCAGGAACACCTGGTTTACCTGGTCCGCCGGGATTAACCCCGCCTGCACCGGTATCCTCCAATTCCATGATTCCATCCCTCACATCTGATCCTTCCCCCTCTTCCCTGAGACCGAATATTGTCGGTGGCCCTGTAGCCACCAATCCAGGAGTTCAGCCGCAAGTATACTCTGCCTATCCATCTATGCCTCCTATGGCTGCAAATCCTCAGGCACTCTGGTTACAACCTCCACAGATGAGTGGCATGGCTCGACCCCCGTTTGTGCCATATCCTGCTGTACTGCCTGGCCCCTTTCCTTTTCCAGCAACTGGTGGTCCTATTTCATCTATGCCATCACCAGACCCTCAACCTCCTGGTGTTACTCCTTCAGGATCTGCAGGGGGGATGTCGTCGTCCTCTGTGCCTGGCCAGCAGATGGCTGGCAATTCAGCTACACAAACAGAAGTACAGCCTCTTGCAGACGGTGAGTCCTAGAATCTACTCCTTGTTGCAAAGATTGTTGACAAAAGCATAATGCTAGAGATGGTTTTTGCAATAAGGACAGCTGCATCAACATTGCACATTTACTTTCTGCAGATACTAGTAAACATGTTAATGGGATGAATGAAGCTGCAGCAAATGAACAATTGGATACTTGGACTGCCCACAAAGCGGACTCTGGAGTGGTTTACTACTATAATGCTTTGACTGGAGAATCTACTTATGAAAAACCTGCTTGCTTTAAGGGGGAGGTAGTCACCATTTGCATATTTTTATTTCTCTATAAGTTTAATATGTTATTGCACTTCAGAGATCATGCATTTACAGATTTTCAAGGTAACTGCAATATGTCCTTTAGACGCACGTACGTCTGCCTTTATGTGAACCGCTACCATATCAAGTAAATTTGGAAGCTCGAATATGAAACTTTCGAACTTTATATTTCAAATCATACTTTGTTGTCTGGTTAAGTCTTCTCCTTCATAACAAAGTTTTGTTTTTGGGAAAAATCAATAGAACATCAAGCCTACCGACTTGGATAGTATCTAAACTATATATTGCATTGCACATTGATGCACATAAATTGTATCGGACTTGTTATATCTTTTTCACCACGAAGATCATGATAACAAATCGGAGATGGTGGAGGTGTTATTTTATGCTGACAAGTGTACAGTAAATGCTAAATAGTATAATTCTAATTGAACTGATACAAGATGTGTCGATAGAGAATATTGATCTTTTTTCTTTCCACTTTTCTTGAGACAACACCTTTCAACTTGACATTTTTACTAGTGGTCATATGCAGGTTTCTTCGTCCATTTGCATGTCCCATTTTGCTTGCTTTACCCATTTTCTCACTATTTGGTTTGGTCTGATCTTGATTTTACTCGGTTTAAGCCACTTTACCGGATCTTTCATCTAATCTGGGTTTCAATTTGTGATCTAGTTTTGATTTCACCATTGCTTACCTTTAAACCTTTTCACTTGTTGTTATTTAACTTTCTTTCTTGTATTGTCAATGCAGCTTGATAATGTCGCCTCGAAAGCCGCTCCAATATCAATGTAAGTCTTATGTGCTAGAGAGGCTTTTGTTTCACTGATATCATCTTTTCTATGGAAACCATGAATTTTCTTTTAGAAAAAAAAATGTTAGTTTAGCCTTTTTTACAATGTGTTAATAGTTTCTTAAGTTGTAACTTATATCTTGCTGTCATTTGATGTTGTCTGGTAATGGAAATTAAGTATAATCTGCTCTTCAGAAGGTATTTCTTCTTAACGAAGATTTACTGCCAAATGCCTCGTGGAGGTATTATATGTTGAATATTTTCCTGTCATTTGAGCTGTCAAAAACTCAAAATTGTTTAGAGTCGAGAATGCACTCCAGATTGAGTTTCTTGGCTGCTTTAAGGACGTCAGACTCATCAACATAAATGGCATGTATATTGTTTCAAACAACGTGGAGCAATAGTTGTGTACTGTCAATAATTGACAGAAGGTAATTAATGTTGCCTGAGATTTTGGCGTTATCTGGATATCTTTCCTATCGTTATCCAGCCATCATTGCCTATAATTTGGTTGAGTAGGGCTATAGTTGTGGACATCAGACGCACTAATAAAAGAGTAGGAATATAGTTTAGTTGAGTAAGGGGAGCAACTCTCTCTGCTTTGGCTCTTTCAATGACTTTGCTATTATGTTTTAATTGCATTTAGGGAGAAATTGGCTGGCACAGATTGGGAGATTGTTACCATGAATGATGGAAGGAAATATTATTACAATCACCAAACCAAGGTAATTATATCTAAGTGGTCTTCTATTTCTTCCTAATGCATTTTGGAATTTGCTGTAAGTTTGTCCTGTCAATGATACGACTAAATAGGCTTGGTCTTTATACCGTCTATTGTGTTTGGTATAAGAGGCTGTTGCTTGTTTCCTAAAGGGTTTCTTGAATTAGAATGTTTGCTGGTGCACATAATTGTAGCAAAGATATTCTGCATCTTGAGAGATATGGTTAGTCATCTCTGGATGTGTATTGAAATGGATTATCGTGATTGTAGAAGTTTATAGTCGCTTCTCATCTTGATGTCCTTGTTAGCATTGGTTGTTGAATTTGTGAATTTTTTTTTTAACTTTTTAATTAGTTTTATGTTTGCTTTATCAGTTGAGCAGCTGGCAAATCCCGATCGAGGTTAGCGAATTAAGGAAGAAGCAGGATGATAACTCATCAAAAGAAAATCTGATATCAATGGCAAGTGCTAATCCAAATGAAAAAGGATCTGCTCCTATTAGTTTGAGTGCTCCTTCTATTAACACAGGTGGCCGTGACGCCACAGCCCTTAGGACCTCTGGTGTACTGGGGTCCTCCTCGTCATCAGCGCTGGATTTGATTAAGAAAAAGTTGCAAGAATCTGGAACTCCTAGTAATTCTTTGCCAGTTCCAGCTGCATCTGGAGCAGCAATATCAGAACTCAATGGGTCAAAATCAGCAGAGGGAACAAGCAAGGTCCTCCAAAGTGATGGCAGCAAAGACAAAGTAAAAGATAATGGAGATGGTAATATGTCTGATTCTTCTTCTGATTCAGAGGATGCAGACAGTGGACCAACGAAGGAGGAGCGTATTCGGCAATTTAAGGTATATTCACTGCTGGTCCTTTAGATTAACGAGTTGGACTTTGCAATACTTTTGGTTTTCATATTCACAACAGGAACTCAAATTCGCGTCTCTAGAAAGCCCATTTCATGAATTCTCTGAGATATCAAAATTAAAAAATAAAATGCACAGATGCTTTATTTATCACCAAGTAGAGATGAATACTATATGGTAGCGGCAGGAAATTCTTTAGCGCTGAATCAGGGTATTCAAGAAGAGCAGGGTGTTCCAGCCTGATTCTGTCAAGTTTTCCTAACTACTGCTTGTCTTCTATATAAGTTGGTAAAGCCTTTGAAATGTTTATATGAAGTCTAGTTAGTTTTTCATTAATGATGACACAAGGTAGCATCTTGAGTGTTAGGAAACTGCTTTCCAAATCTTTGTATTGTAGAAGAATAAGGGCTGCATAATTTGGACTTTTTTTGTGCTTTCATTGTTTGATTTAGATGAGCATTCTTTGGTTTGATCTGGAAGGAGGATAGACCAACTTTAATGTACATGTTCTTCAAGATGATGTACTGTAATCTTGTATGTCATGTATAATACCTATTTATGGGAAGATGGTGAGGGGGTGCTATCCCAAACAAGATCATGTACAACTGACATCTATCAGATCTTTGGCAAATTGTCACAATTACGTTTCTCAATGGAACAAAGAGTCTTCATTACTGCATTTTATATTCTAAGGGTGATTTGGAATTTTATTATGAAGCATAGATGATGGAAAGGCAGCTGGCTTCAGGCTTTTGCTTGGCTTGAGCTTTTAATGGCCAATGTTGATTCCAATTAAAGGCAGAAGCCACATATAATTCTTGCAGTTTCGCTGCTTGCTTGCTTGCATGAAGTGCACAATTTCATTATTTATGAAGTAATCTAAACATATCTATAAGAGATATTAATTTGGGCTTGGTAATTTGCAGGAGATGCTTAAGGAACGAGGTGTAGCTCCATTCTCAAAGTGGGAGAAGGAACTTCCAAAGATCGTATTTGATCAACGTTTCAAGGTTTGTTGTCGTGATTATGATTAATTTCCAAGTAAAATCGAGGGGTTTTTTACAACCTCATCAATGCAATTATATTTATCTAGAAAAGTAAGTATCCTAGTGGGGCTTTTATCATTTCACATGATTATTAGCCATCTTGTTATGTTAAATAATCTGACGCATCAACTGGCTGATTGTTAGCCATCATGTTTTGTTTATGCTTAAAGAATCTGACGCATCAACTGGTAATATGGCATGCTCAATATTTATTGGCATATCCACCTCTTTATCTTTTCGAAAAGGCTCATTATTGTACTCCCTCATTCACTTCTCACTTTAATTGTTGAGGGAATTCACGTTGCAGGCTATACCAAGTTACTCTGCTAGAAGATCATTATTCGAACACTATGTTAAGACACGTGCTGAGGAGGAGCGCAAGGAAAAGCGAGCAGCACAGAAGGCTGCTATAGAAGGATTTAAACAGTTACTGGAGGAGGCATCGCAGGTTCCATATATACCCTCTATAAGTGGGTTATTCATCATTTAGGTTCTGTGGGTTGTGTTAACTGCTTATCAAATACCTTTTTGTCGTGCAGGATATTGATCACACAACTGATTATTACACTTTTAGAAAGAAATGGGGCAACGATCCACGGTTTGAGGCCTTGGAACGGAAGGATCGAGAGAATTTATTGAATGAAAGGTACCTCTTGTGCAGAGAAATTGCTTGAGGTTCTCATCAATGCGACCATATTCTTTTTTTTTGCAAGTCTCTATTTTTTTGGACGCTGGTCACTCAATCTCTATTTTATCTTGTTATGAACCATCTACTTATGTCATGGTCATCGATTCAGTTAAAAGTTGGCCTTGTCTCGTTGATGATACTGCAAAATTAACTTGGCCTTGCTGCAGGTAGAAGTTGCTTAGTGATGAATATTCTGATTAGTGTTCAAAATGTTCTTGCAGTTGATGTGTTGTCTGGTCTGCATGATTATCTATGCTCTTGCTTGAATAACTTCAAACCCTTTATAGTTCAGTTGGTAACTGTATTCTGCGGGAGGTGCCAATTCAGTCTGTCACATGGCACAAGTCAGTGTGATATTTCATCTTCAACACACTGAACATGTAGAGAATGTAGGGCCAACCAGAAGCAGTTATCATTCTTAATCTTTTATGCTCATGTAGAGAAATTTAACATGGTTACTGATAATTTGTCCAAGCTATAGTTTCTTGTTCTAGATGTTTCACTCTGGAAGATGCCTCTTCCAAGAGTAAGTAACTACATTAGGGGTCCCATGTTAATCAATTTTAGAAGTCAATTTATTGGCAAAGCCAAATGAATGGAGAATAGAATGAGCCTGGAAGTAGAAAACCATTTTCTTTTAGTGAACTGTAGTCTTTGTTTGGGTCTTTTCCTTCTCTGAACTATTTTATTAACTTGATATTTTGTTCAACGGTTGTTGTTTTCGTTTTTTTGGTCTCTTCTCGATAAGTTGGGTGGGAGGGCACTAGTAATCTAAGATTGATTGCTTGTGTCCCTGGGTCATGAGAAAGTAGCTTGTTGGTATCAGTCAGTCGTCAAATACACCTGGTTGAGGTCATTACAGACACTTTTGGGCTATGGATACTCATAAGAGGAAAGATTATTACGGTTCTTCTTTTGTCTTCTTTGCAATTTTGTCCTTCGTTGTAGTCAAAGAATATGCTTTATCCCTCTCATAACAAAACTAAGGTAATGGTGGCTACCGATGCATTCGTGCGAATGTTGTCTGTTTTGTCTGTCCGGATGTTTGAGAGATTAAGTTGTAGTTTTTAACATTGACTCTGTGAGATATTGGATTAACATATAATTTCCTTTGACGATTATTCTTATGCAAATTCATGTTGTACTGTTTTTTAGAGAGCAAGTCAATTTTATGATAAGCATTGAAAGCCAAATGAGTCAGCAAGTAGTAGGCTAGTGACCAGATTCTCAGATTCCTTTGGTGTGTTCTTTAGCTCTCCAAGCTTTCTGGTTTGCAAAATAAATGTTCCTTATTTCTTGTCTCATATATATGATATCTGATTGCAAAAAGTTTCTGTTTGACTTGTAGGGTCCTCCCTTTAAAAAAGGCTGCTGAAGAAAAGGCTCAGGCAATGCGTGCTGCTGCCACTTCTAGTTTTAAATCCTTGCTTCGAGATAAAGGAGATATAACTGTCAATTCCCGTTGGTCCAGGGTAGAGGCAACACTAAACTTTACATCTTTCCAGTTGAAGATTCTTCCTGAACTAACTTAGACTTGCAGTCTCGAGATAAATGAGTTCTAATCATTCTGTGGAGTTATCAGTGGCTACATGCCTGTTATTTTTCCTTTATGTTTTATATAGGGATGGAACAAACATATAAAGATGCCCATCCTGCGTAAATGATGTATCTTACTACTAACAGTAATCCACATCACATGATTTCTGTCTCTTCTGGGTGGCCCTTGACTAAGCTCTGTCAGATTTCTGAAAATGCTTTTGCACCTTGCATTATATTTATTTCTTCACTATTCTGAAGAAAAAGTTGAAAAGGAAATTATTCAGCGGGCTATTTGAATGTATTTTAATCTTTAATTTTCTTTTCATTTTTTCTTTTACTTCTTTTTTTATTCTTAGCTGAAGTTAGAACTGGACAATATCTGAGGTAATACTGTAGCTGCATAATCAATGAGCTTCTCTTCATGGTTTGAAAAATGTCAAGAACGTTACAGTAGTTGGTGTAATGATGTGACTGCATCATTCATAATCTTGCAGCTTCTTTAATAATTTGTCATAATTCTATTTTATGCATAAGCTTAAAATTTGTATGTACTTTTCTTCTTGTTGAAGGTAAAGGATAGTCTCAGGGATGACCCAAGATACAAGTCAGTGAAGCATGAGGACAGGGAGGCCTTGTTCAATGAGTATATAACTGAATTGAAGGCTGTGGAAGACAGAGAAGAAAACGAGGCAAAAGCCAAGAGGGAAGAGCAGGTATATATTCTAATGTTATTTTAGAAGGACCTCTCTCTCTCTCTCTCTCTCTCTCTCTCTCTCTCTCTCTCTCTCTCTCTCTCTCTCTCTCTCTCTCTCTCTCTCCGAATGCAAATTTTTTTTTTTTTTCAGGATATACACTCAAAATCCTGCATTGCTAGATGTTCACTTTTCTTTTTTAAGAATTCAGGGGATTTCCGATTGATTTCCCAGGTGTAGATAACATTTAGCATTATGGACTACCTGTTTCGCTTATATCATCGACTGTTGTGAATTCTTAACTGAGGCGAAAATCCTGGAAAATAGACTTTGCTAAAATAGGAATGGCAGTTGATATCATAAATGCTCAGAGTATGTCATATTTGTAAAGTAGAAAAATTGATGAAATCCTATTTCAGCAGATTGTAACTAAAACAAAAAAGAAACCATTATGCTATTCTCCCGGGTGGTTGATCTGCAAATGATCAATAATCACTGTAGTTGCTTCTTCTTCTTCTTCTTCTTAGAAATGCTTGTTAACATAATAGAATTAATATCATGTATTTGGGCTTATGTTTTTAGCTTGTTTTATACACAGGGTGGCAACTCCTTGGTGCCGCTCTTATTTAATTGATTTAATTTGTAAAAAAGAGAGATTGCAATTTCAGAGTTCTTGTAGGGAGAAAATTTAGATGCTAGTAATCTTTTAACAGTTCCCCGCCACCCCCCCGAATTGCGTGCATGCTTCTACTCATGTTTGCTCGAGACATTGGTGCCTCAAATATTTGTACATCAAGGTTTAAGCTTTTCCGTTTATACTTCTTTGCAGGAGAGACTGAAGGAAAGGGAAAGAGAATTGCGAAAACGGAAGGAAAGAGAAGAACAAGAAATGGAGAGGGTACGGTTAAAAATACGCAGGAAAGAGGCAATTGCTTCTTTTCAAGCATTGCTTGTTGAAACAATCAAGGACTCTCAGGTTGGTAATTACTATCAGTTCCCTTCAATAGTGTTGACTGGATGTCTTGACAATCTACACATCTAAGCGTTGAGAAAAGTCAACTTGAAATAGGATAAGGCCTTTCTTTTTCTTAAGAGAAATTGATGACACCTTTTCATGGGTATACTGGAGTTCGACAGATGTAGGGCCTGAACCCGTGGTTGTGAACACTTTGGAGCATCAGTCGTTCCCTTTAGTTATTAAGTAGAAATTTTGTTAGACCTTCATATGTGCTTGGTGGGTTAACTTTAACCATGAATGGAGGAAAGCTCTGTTAATATCGGATGTTCACATAATTTTTGTTGTATTATCCTAAGACTTGATGCATCTTGCTGAGAAAGTCTTAGTTATTTGATCTGCCATATTTGTTTGCATGACCTCACACTTAACATTTAATAATATGATTAATGATTATTTACAATGGCAAACTTTATAAATAACTGATTTATGAGCGAAATAGTATTTCTTCCTTTGAGGAATTGCAAAAGTACAATTCGGTCCTAGACTTATTTGCCTAGTCTGTGGATGTAATTCTACTTAATGCAGTGAACTTCAACTCTTCAATCGAATTCCTTAGCCTTTATATATTTATAAATGGCAATCTCGCATAGTGCATGGTGGCAGCTACCTAAAACAACTGCATGCATAGTTATGGAGGGGGGGGCGGGTGGGGGAGGGGAGGGAGAGAGTCGACGGCAGGTTTCCATGCTTGCCCAACTCAAGCTAGCAGTTAGGCAGCTATGCTTGTTACTTGCATCTGGAATTCGTGCCTCTTTCTTCCTGTTTGATTGTTATTAACAAGGGGTATTACACATCTCCCTCTTCCTGTTAAAATTAAGACGTAGCTGTGTCTAGGAAAACTACATAATTTTGTGATTTGTTATTGACTTCATGTATTGATAATGTAAATAGGCTTCCTGGACGGAGTCAAAAGTTAAAATTGAAAAAGATCCTCAAGGACGTGCCAGTAATCCTGATTTGGATCCAGCTGACACAGAGAAACTCTTCAGGGAGCACATCAAGCTTCTGCACGAGGTAATTTTGCAATCCTCTTGGGTATAATTTTTAGGAACAATTGAGTTTGACTCTCCATCCTATATCTTTCGATGGCTAACAACATGATGCATCTTTTCTCCTACCCTACATCATGACCCTATAGGTAGCCACCATACCCCAAGTCCAACTTCCTGTTCCAGGGGCAGGGTTCTGAACTTGAAGAGTCAGACTTGATGCAGACATGATACATTTGAGAACCTTGATAGCTACTAACTGGAAATATGTTGGCTAGTGTCTGTCAATGATCGTTCAGAAATCTTATGTGCATTGTTGGAGTTTGCTAGAAGTATTTTCAGTACTTATCAAGAGGCGACAAAAACTAATGTCCGAAGGGGCAGAAATATTACCTCCACGAAACAATACTGGAACGAACTTACGAAGAAAGGCAGGTGCAATTAGATGGTTAGTTATGGAGATTTTTGACAATTGGTAGGAGGAAAAACTTCTTGATATTCTAGCTTGTTTACACACTAAAATCAAATTGCTGAACTCCCTTGGGACCTGCATTGATGAGATTAGTCACCAATTACGATTTGGCGTTGGTCGATATCAAGGCTGCTATTGGTAGGTCTGGCCACTAGAAATGTTTCTTGGTCATACTGCAGTTATTCGACCAGGAAGTCCTTTGATACTTGATATGCATGAACTGATTTTCATTTCCTTCGGCAATTTTGATTTTTTCGCAGCGATGTTCCAACGAGTTCAGAGCTCTCCTCTCGGAATTTATTACTTTGGAGGCAGCTTCACGGGAAATGGAAGATGGGAAAACATTGCTTAACTCGTGGTCAACAGCTAAGCGGCTTCTAAAGCCCGACCCAAGGTACAACAAGATGCCAAGAAAAGAGAGAGAAACATTGTGGCGACGGTATGTGGAGGAGATGCAGCGAAAGCAGAAGTCAGGCGACGATGACAGAGAAGAGAAAAACGTGGATGCAAAAGGTCGAAGTGCTGCTAATTCTGGAAGGTTACCAACTGGATCGAGGAGAGCTCATGATCAGAGATAGCTTATCGGAGAGAGCTTCTCTATGGTGAGAGATCAACTGTGCTTTAACGAAATTTTCCGTTTCCATTGGAGAGTGAACCTCCTAATTTTTGTACACATTGGAGTTCCCCCTCCCCTTAGTTTATAGCTTATAATCTAACTACTCCTGGGATTAGTCAACACCCCGCTTTTAGGTGTTTTGACCCCTAATGTTTATTAGTAGGCTATGTGGGTTAAAAAAAAGTTTAGCGAGTCAAGAACCAGAGCTTTATATTGTTCTTTCTCTAGCATCACATATCATCGAATTATAGAAACGTGCTCTGGGGGACAGAGTAGGCATTGTAGATCTACAGTGGTATGACCTGACAAATCTTCTTCATCTGTGTATGAATAAGCAATTGTGCAATTTCAAAGAGAATTTTTTCTGCTTTGGATTCCAATTGGTTCCTTCTCGGTAAATGCATGCGTGACTCGAGTGAGGCCACAAGAAAGATCCCTACATTAAACTAAACTTTCAAGAGACTTGCTAAACTTTCAGATAAAAATTTCAGCATTTATGCATGATAGAAACTTTTTTCACAATGGAAAGTCAATATCGATATATCTGTGGTTAGTCATTTCATTTCCCAAATGTGCGGTAACGTTCTTCTTTAGCTAGTGACGCCAGCTATAACTTAGTAGTTCAACCCTCAAACTGCAGATCATACTGAACTTATTTTCCTTCATTATCATTTCCGTTCTATGAATGTTCATTGCATAACCAAACAAATGACAGAAATTGCAATTTCCTTTCATTTACTCTTCCCTCCATAAGTTGCCAAAACATGAAGCCCAAGTTTCTTGGATGGGTCAGGTGATTGTACACATGATTCACAAACATCAAAGTGCCGAGGCAACACGACGTGGATTACAAAGCTGCGCATTGCGAGATGAATGGAGATTAAGGGATTGACAGAGGAATGACAAACATACTAGGAGTTAAACAAAGAATTGACATAAAGAAGGCAAACCAAGGCGCCCTGGTTTGCCGTTAAAAACAAAGCGACCAAAGTTTCATGAGATCACCGAACAAGTGAATATCTGACTTGGAGAAGAACGAATTGTAGAATAGTTTACGAACTGAATTCCTCCCTGGTGGTGGAGCAGTAAGAGTCGCATCTTCCTATAAAAAGACCCTTTCGAAATTAAATGAAGAGGAAAGGAAAAGGAACGATCCAACTAATAGTAGGTTTTAAGTTTGAAATAAGCCCCCAGTCAAGACAATTAATTCTCTAGCAAAAAAAAAATGCCCAGAAACTTCGCTTCCGCACTCAGTGGCGGTATCTGCTTCGATCCCTGTCACGATCCCGGTCACGATCCCTGTCTCGCCCATATTCTCTCTCTCTATCGTAGGGATCATAGTCTCTATCTCTTGCACGATCCCTCTCTCTACTACGGCTACGCGGTCTGTCCCTATGATCACGTGTTCTGTTCTTGCCACTGTCCCGGTCATCCCGTTCCCTTCCTCTATCTCTGCTCCTCTCTCTTCCATCTCTATCAGCCACAACTGCAACATAACATTTCACATTTAACTTTAAAGAAGAGAGAGAATACGCCCAAATAACAAATAAACAAGGGACTCAGATGTTTTAATGATTTGATCCTCATAAATTAACCTAGCATCTCAACATTTCAGGGAGCTATGTGGTGATTACAAAAGACAAATGGGCTGCTAAAGCTCCTCTGCAAACGATTAAAAACACCCAAATCACAATTTATATATATAGCCCGAACCAGGAAAGGAAAGAGTAAGGGGAGGATAAGAAGGAACTGGTTCCACGATGGGGACCATACAAATCAGTCACAAGAAAAGACGAAAATGACCGGTGAACAATTAAAAGAAGGGTAGTTCATTTGGTTACAGGGAGTCTTGATCTACCTGTAACATGCGTATATAAGGTACTCTATTACAGAAAACAGCAGAACAGATGCACATTAGGCATTCCTAAAGTTAAAGACCTTTCAAGTTAAGAATCACAATACCTAGCTCTTCGACCTCCCATCCTGCACGCCCAGCACCAGGAATCCCTCGTGCAGCTTCAGCTTGTTGTGTTTTAGCACGAAACTTCTTCTTGAGATTGCCAAACTCATCATACATCTCACCATCATCCTGACATTATTTTAAACAGAGACCTTTTTCAGCACTGTTCTATGCAATTTCTACTAAAGAGACTTGAAATGAGCATCACCTCTTCGGCCTCCTTTCGCCTTCGCTTTGTTTCCTCGAGTTCCTCTTCATCAAGTTCCTTGTAACCTCCCCCACGTCCACCTCTATATAAAATACCAGAAAACAACAGAATTGTAAAAGCAATACTAAGAGAAAAACCAAGAATGACTTTCCAAGTTTCAAATTCTACAAACGATTCAATGCACTTGCATCACCCTGAGAGAAAGAGGGAGGGAGGGACGGAAGGGAGAGTTGACAACAAAAGCTAACATTAAAAGAATGGTTTCTCTATCCAATGGTGTTCATAGGCCTAATATTAGAAGTACGGTTTCTCTATATAATGCTGTTCATAGGCCTTTTTCCCCAATCAAAAGCCATCTGGATAATTAATTTTCCGAGAATATTTGTTAAAAATACAAGCGTTTTGACATTTTTATTGCAAAACATATAATTGAGACAAAATTTGAAATATCCTCTCCGTTGTGCTCTCTCATATTCTGCGAGAGTTCATCATCATGCTTATTAGTCCTGGTTCATGTAATGGATACACATGGTAAGCACTCCAGTATAAATGTACACATCCAGCCAAATGGCAACACAAGAAAACTCCTCCTTCATAAAAGCTCTCAAACATTTATTTAAACAAAGGGGCATCTGTCATTGCACAAGCAGCTCTCTAGAATGCACAAAGGATCACTCAGGAAAAATTATAGCCCTTATATGAATCCTCTGGCGTCAAAAAACCTAATCTATCAGTAGAGTTATAGATAGTTTTGCAAATCCAAAAAGATCAATTCTCAGGTACCTTACACCGCCCTCGTTATGACCAGGTTTATTGGTGTTGCAAATGTTGCATTTTGTACGCTTTGCCCAGTTTATATTGCCACACCTGGAAAGAGAAAAAGAAGGGAGAAATATAAAACAGTGAGGGACATGCCCCTGCATATTGTATCCAACCAGTTATCTTAATATTCCAGAAGTGAAATAAAATGCAGCAGCAACCTTATCGGCTCATTAGATCTGAAAACAGAAATCAGTATGCATCAAATTAAGTTGTTTTACATATTACTGCAGGACTCTAAGAGCACATTTTGGCAAAGGCATAATGTGACAAATGAACTAATGAAGAAGCTGGATGTGAGCTTTGCCACATATTATTACAATTATTTACAGGTGAAATAAAGAGAAATATCATCCATGTTTATTATAGCATAGCATTATTTCGATAAAAAAAATTTCAACTGTCAAATCCACAACTGATAAAAATTACAGACATCCAGTACCAGTAAAAGCCATGTTATACTCCAATGTTACGCATGATCGACTGCCATTAGAAATCCAGCCAATGCCTATTGATCTAGCTGACCTTAGAGAATCACACCTGTTTTTTAGATGTGCTGGTGACTAATAGTAAACTCTAGATAGCTCCGAGGGACCAATCTATACTAACATGGCTGGGCCAAACCAAAAACTTTTCCAGCTTCCTTCCTATCAACCCAAAAGTACTACTAACCACCAGGTTCATTCTCTTTCCACCTAGTCTGTCACTCAGAGAACTTTTCTGGTTAGAATGAGAAAAGAATTCAAGGATAGTACTAAGATGCGAGACAAAGCTTATGTCCTCTGGCAGATTTAAAAAAAGCTCACTGAATATAAGAACTGAAATTAAGTGGAAACTTACGCATATGATGTTATGATCTTACATTGGACAGGGCCAATCATTTGGACCAAAAAGTCCAGTGGGACCACCAGCTGGACGGCCAGTGCCCGCAGAGTCATTGCCACCACGACCTTTTCCACGACCTGCACCCCGTGAAGCACCACCTGAGGCACCAGCAGGCCGAGCACTTCCGCATCGGTTGCAGACACCACGAAATGCAAAATTTACATTGGAACAGCTGCTAGCAGAACTAAATATTAGGAGCTTTTCCATTCCAACCTGATCATACCAGCAAAAGAACAGCAAAACGGTCCAAAAAGCAAGGGTTGCTCACCAATGTCACATCACAGACCTTGTATTCGGGCACAACCAATCTCCCTCTTGTTTCCATGCCTTCCCCGGAACATCTTCCCGACCTCTACCTGCTCCCACACCGCCATTTGCATCCGTGGGGATCTCCTCCGCGTCAACAAAATTACCAGCATCATTACTATCTTTGCTTTTACTATCCGCTATATGAACTCCGATAATACTTCCATGGAACTCCTTGTTGTTGAACCATTCAACAGCAGCGGACGCGGCATGAGGATCCTCGTATGTAACAGTAGCATCTCCCTTTGGCTCATTCGTCTCCTTGTCTCTGTAGAGCCAAATCTTCGGACGACCTGTGCGCTTGTCTTTCTACGAAGCACCGGGGGGGGGGGGGGGGGCGGACAAAGGCAAACAGGAATATGAGCAACAGCGATAAATATAAGCCATCTGGTCTGCTAAATAATGCGATGGGTACAAACCCTAAAATTCACAGTATATTCTAGCCACCGAACGAGAGACGCATCGCATTTATATTCAGATGATACAGCAGCCCATAAGCCTCCATACCTTGAGCAACCCAATGGTTCCAAAGTGTTCAGCCAGCATGTTCTCATCGGTTCCCTCCGGCAAATTACACACGTACACAGTCCCGTTCAAAGGAGCACCTTTCCCTAGATAGGTACCCGTCATCGTGCTCCACTTCCCCCGGGCAGATTCAACAGCCGCAAGACGACCCAAGACCTGAAAAAAAAAAAACATCGAGAGAAACACCCCACGATCAAATCAGCACGCGTTCACCCGGCCCTCCGGCGTTCACCCGGAAGCGGCCGAAATTATCTCTCGCTCAAGCACACAATTTGGAACCGCGTTCGAGAAAACAAGACAAGCCCATCTAGAATCGATCTCGGCCGATCTCAAACAACGACAGCAAGCACGAAAATGGAGGCGACGACGCGAATTGGAACGAGAAACTTCTCGCCCGGTGGAACTTAGATCAGCCGCAAACCCTAACATCGACGCGCAGGCGAGTTCTGGACCGCCGAAGACCCACCCCGCGATCAGGAGGAGGAAGAAGAAGAAGGGGGGGGGAGGAGAGAGATGCGTACCGAATGTAAGCCTGCACAGTGCGATTCGAGATTCGAGATTCGAGGCTGAAGCAACGAGAGCTCCAGAAAATATCTCTGTCTGAGCTCTGAGCTATTGAGCTCTCGTCTCTGGCTTATGTTCTTGTAAGACACGCACCCGTT